AATGACAAAATGTTCACTGAATTATATGCACACCAGGTCATGATCAGGTCACTTACCTCACATTTTAGAGCAAGAGAACAGAATAGACAACTTAGAGTATTTTACAGCAAAGAATGTAAAAATGTATTCAGCTTTAAGACCTAGAAGCATTCTAAACCAATCTAAATGAAGCCACAGAGCTCTGAACTACAGAAAAACTCAAAGTGTTTCTATCATTTAGCTTTGAAAATTTACTGTGTAGCAGACACTTAAACTATCTGATTTATTTTGTGTACATCCAGAGTTAAGCTTCAGATGGTGAATTAACTATTAGTTAACATCTCTGGTAAAACCTGATAATACCAGAATAAAACTGGACAATGTTTACTACGGCTACAACCTTTGATAACCTTATTCCTAAGATCACCGTCTTGGCTCTCAAACAAAGTTTTTGCAGAGCTCACCTGTCTAGGATTTCCATCCACAAAATCCTACTGTATCTGTTTGACAGGGACAACTGAAAGAAAGACAGGTGGAAAGAGAAAGAGATATGGGCAGTGAAGAAATTGATAAGACTCAGGCTGCCAGTGACTGCACGGAGATGAAGAGGAAGTTGGATAAGATCCTTATCTCAGCCTCCTCTGTAGTGATCACATGTGCTGACCTTGGTGTATTTCAGTGCAGCCTCATTCCTCTTTCCGTTACACACACACTGTCTTCAGAATGTCACAGTGAAACAATCCTGAGCATGAGTGTCTCAGACATAATTCAGGCCAGCTGAACACTCAAATAAGACCCTCAAGCCTTCTTTCACTCCACTGCACACATCCTACAGTTCAGGTACATCCCTGACCTTTCTGCCTGCTAAACAATGCCAGAAATATGGATGGAAAAAAAAAGAAGGAAACGTGTACCACAAAGGCCAACCCAATGGCCTTCCTCCATCCTTTCATTTTAAAACGCTCTCTCCTTCCTTCCCCACCAGAGCAAATCCCTGTAAGAAGTAGACCTGCCAGTCAGAAGTAAGAGGTAGCACAAGGAATTAATATTCAATTAAACTCATAGCTGTTCTATCAGGTTATAGACCAAAGGACATTTTGACTTTGGGAACAACCCACTGATAACACCATTACTGCAAAAAGGCAAGACATGTATAATAGTTAGTTTCTGGGAAAGGACCAATCCATGAACATTAGTGGCACTAAGCAGTAAAACATGGGAAATATTTGAATTGGAAACAATGACAGACAGCCTCATAGAAGAATCTATTAGATGTTATAGTTACCATTTTGGGTAATAAGACCTTGACCAAACACAAATGGGTCTTTTAGATGTAACTAATGAAGTGCATGAGTAAGTACAGGTATGTTAATAGCTAATATATCTTACAGCTGTGACTAGGTCTGTAAACAAATAGAAAATTAAATTAGTAGGCAGTGCAGCACTGGCATTCCAAAATGAAACACTATAATATCATTACACTACCAATCTGGTCCAGTCTGAAATTTGAAACTCAGTACATCTGGTAGATTGGTCCTCCTAAATTTTTTGCTCCTCCCAACAAAACTGTCCTACCTTTCTTGCAACCCCACAGATTTAACTGTTAGAGTTGTTGGATCTGTCTCTGCTTTGATGTCCATTACGCAGTCAAAGACCGGTGTTTCAGGTACTGGATCCAGATCTAGAAAGTCATCTTCATTTTTATCCTCTGTCCACTCTGAGTATGTGAAGGAAGGCTGGCGGCTCACAGACTGGCGCCTGTCCTCTGGTAGTGGAAAGGCAGGGTCCCGTTGGGCTTTCAGGAGATGCCAGATCTGGAGGAAATAGACATTTTAAGACATTCTGTATACTATTTGAACTTCTGTGCACTCTGAAGTATACACCTTTTGGGTAATAATCCCATAGACTGTACTCCAGGATAATGGAACTGCGCTAAAAAGAACAGGAAGTCCCATATAGGAGTGGCTTTCCTACACACATTACAGGACCACACACCTATGGTAACGCTGCTTTCTGATACAGAGGGTTCCATGGAGCCCAACAGGTTCATTCGGGAACACAGTGGAAGCATCCTATGCTTGTGACTACTGCATGAAAGCCAATGTGAAATCGCTGTCCTTTTGTTTAAATAATCAGCTTTCACAGACTGCTAACAACATCAAATCTTCTGGGTTATTCCACATTTTCTGACCTTTTCCTGATTCAGAGGCCATCCATGTAGGATTTAGTTAGGTTTAATACAGGTAAAAGCCAGTTTCCCAAATAGCAAAGCTTTGGTGACCTAGTGCTATATCCTAAATTCATCTCTAAACCAACACTTACATTTTAAGAAACCCCCATTTTACACAAAGACATCCTTTAAAAGTTTCAGAAAACTTGTGCAGTCTTCAGTCAGCCATAAATCCCATTTAATCTTTTGATCTACAGAACATAAAGTATAATAAATTATGTGAAATAATGTTGTGTTAAATTAAATAAACATGTAGGGTAAAACTTAATGGGTCAAAATGACCCAAATCTAAAAAACACTGAGTCACAGATTTTAAGGACAGAAGGGATTTTTTAATGTGACCTTCTCTGTAACACAGGCCCAAAACTTCAACCAGTAGCAATTGCATCAAGTTCATTCCTACAAGCAACACTCACCAATGTGAAAGCATTAATTGCCAATCACATATTTTGTTAATGTAACCTCACTGCTCCTAAACAAAGTCTATGGCTCAGGCAATTAGTTTCCCCCAGTGCACTGACTTTCAGTGGAATTTAGGTGCCAAGTACATGGAGTTGCACAGACACTGTGGCATACTGTACAGCATAGAAACATTATAATGGACTGTTTGCACTCTGAAACAGGCCTCAGTTGAAAAGTTTTAGTTCAGATATGAACCTTGCCACAGGTCTGAGGCATTAGGATTGAGGGTTTTGGGCTGAGTTTATCTGTATGGATAAGACAAGAAGCAATGTCACTCAAACTCATTTGGGAAATTCTAGTATCTTCTGACATGCCAAGCATCGTTACCTCACTTTTGAGATGAGCAGGATCACTCAGCATCTTGCAGGATAAAGCCTTTGTTGTGTTTTTAATGTTATTTTAAAGGGACACAGTCACATTTAAAAGCCATGTAATATACAAGAGTCAAGTCTATTTCCCT